AACGGTATGGAGCTTAGAAATGATTCTTGGGAGATGTATAAAATTATTTATTTAACATGGTTAACATAATTAATGCAACCCAATGGCATTGAAATTTTTATGTCCTGGTTGAACCGGCATTTCATTTTATTTTTTAGTTCAGAAATGGAAAGAATGCTAGGTCATCTGCCTAGTTTGTTGTATCACTAGACATGTGTTATTAACAGTGTTGGGCAAAAATTAGTCATGTCTAATGATTAATGATTGATCACTCAGACCGTTAGTCATGATTGATAGTAAGTGACTAATTTAGTCATTGGTCGCCATATGTGATTGATGGCTAAATTAGTCATAACTAGTAATTAAAAACGAGGCATGACTAATTTAGTCACAATATAGTTAGTCATGACTAAATTTCGATAAATCATGTTCAAATGGGTACTCAAAAAATGAAAAATACACTTCATCACTTTTAAAAAATTTTCTAACAGAAATTTATTTCATCAAAACGAAAATCCTTCAACACCTTATTTAACAAAAATCAATCTTCCAATTATAAGTAAAACTCCGTCGTTATGAAAATCCAAAAAAATAATGATAATAATTAAATAAAATAAAAAATTCTAGAACAAGCTACGCTTTGAAAAGTAAATATGTTTACATAACCGATCAATGGAAAAAATATTTCTTCGAATTAAAATTTATTCCACTTAAAAGAATAATTATGAAACTTCGGTTTTCGTTTATGATAACACTTTTTGAAGGTTGGCCTTGAGCACGGCTCTCATCTCAAAATTTTTACTCGGAGTCGGTTGAATTTTGGTAAGTTAGTCATTGTAGCCAGAGTTGGGCAAAATCAAACTGATTCAATCATGGTTAATGATTTTGATTAAAGTTTAATCATGATTGAATTAGTCATGAGTAAATTAATCATTATATGATTTAGTCATACCTCATGATTGAACTAATTATGATTAAATCATATAATGATTAATTTACTCATGACTAATTCAATCATGATTAAACTTCAATCAAAATTCTTAATCATGATTGAATTAGTTTGATTTTGCCCAACTCTGGTTATTAAGACCTACCAGAAGTAGTAGGGGCTTATTCTTGAAAAATTAATACATTCAATAAATAATTGACGAAGCTTTTCTTCCTCAAGTTGCTTACAATCAAAAGTCAATTCTTCAAAATAAAATAAAACTTAAACTAAATAAGATATTAGTTAATTACTTTACAGAGTCTCTTAAAAATGATTTTCTGTAAAATTCACTAGTTTTCGAGGTCCGCTTGACCAATTAATATCTTTCAATTAATTGAGATAAAAAAAGGCAGTGTCACGATAGCTCAAGTGGTAGAGCAGCAGCGTATTTAGCCGATGGTCGTGGGTTCGAATCCCGCTCGTGACACTGACCTTTTTATCTCAATTAAAACTTTAATTAATTTCTGTAAAATCTCGTTGTGTCGTATGCTCAGTTGAAACTCGTGTCATTTTTGGTTTTTGAAAAATTTATGATATTGGTAGCCGTAATTGGTGCTGTCGGTACAGTTCTATCCTTTTATGTCCTGGCTACATAAGCACAAAGTAATGGATGAATTTTCAGGAAGAAAGGGAACGAGGTTATAGTAGATTAGACGTAGAGAGATGGGACGTAGAGTGAAGGTAATATTTAGAGATTTTCCGTTTTTTTATTTTTTAATTCGCTTTTTGTTTATTGTAGTTGTGTCTCAAGAGTTCAGTAAGCTATAATGAGGTCGGAGTTGGACGATAGACGTCCCACCAGCGTATGTTTTGATAGTGTTGTCGGAATGAGGTGGGATATGAGCAGTATACACTGCCCTGGCGGGCGCTCGAATCCTCTTTGTATATTGTATACAGGAAAGCGAGCGAAGACGACCCATACACCAAAATACCCGTCAGGTATGACCTAGGAGTGAGAAAGTTTGTAAGGGGTAGAATGCCCTTGAGCTTATATAACTAGACGTCACTAAGTGCTAGAATTGATCAAAAATAGTTTTCCATCGAGAAAAACCTCTTCGAGCGGCATTCCTTCTTCTCAAGGAGGAGGCGATGATGAAGTTTATCATAGCCTTGTTGAACACTGGTGACGCTTAAACTCAAATTAATGGTCTGGGATTACATTTAAATGATTAATTATTTATTAAATTTGAGGATCGGGAGTATTTTTTTACAGACGAGTTTTTATGGAGTTTACCAAGAACTGACAGTAAACCGTTGAGAAGGTAGGGATTCGAAAGGTGAATTGACGAGTTTGACGGGATTGTGTGATCGGTAAAAAAAAACTTCTATGGCATCCGGAAATGAATCGTTTGGTGGGTTCCATTATCAAGTGTAATTATGAAATTAGTACTACTTTAAAACTCGCTCTGAGGAAGAGAACCCTACTACTAATGAAAAACTAAACAAACTGCTATAAATTAAAAGCAATTGCCAACTAGATTATCTAAAAAAATTCAAACCTTCTGGGAACAACACCACTGAACAAATACAGCAACTTCATTAAATTTAATTGAAACTTACACAGACCTTTTGTACCAACGCATAATAAACTTAAGCTCTGTTAAGAGAACATTGTTGATTAAATTGGCTTATGTAAATATTAAAAGTTACAGAGGAGCCCATATAGTTTCGGCCAAGAAAAAGTGGAAACTGCAGTCCCCGTTACTGCGAAAGCCTAAAATAAAGAGCTTTTTCATAGATTAGACATATCCGATCATTTTAGTCTGCCTATCCATGTTGTCTTGGTTTGTCATCAATGGTGGTTTGATCTGAGAAGGTTTTCCCCACGAGTCCAATAGTTATAGCCTGTCGATTCCGGGTATGTCCGAAACAAATACAGAAACGATCAATCTAGTGGTTTTAATTGCATTTCCAGGAGTTGATCTAATCAGTGTGTATTCTTGAACAGTCCATAACCTCCCAACCGACCTACGGTAAGCGGGAATAAAAAGAAAACTGAATTAACGCCGACTTTATTACCGAGAGGGCAAATCATGGAAGTAAATCTGATGGAAGCAGCCTGGGGAGTTTATTGCCCCGGGTGAACTCAACGTGATTGCAACAAATTGAGAAAAACAAAGAGGGAGAATTTCGAAATTGCCGCTGTCCACGGTCCGACGGCCTGATCGGCGATATATAGACGTTAATTACTTTTCTAACGAGTTCAAACTATATAATTCCCGAATCTGCCAGGGTCGGTTAGTTACGAATCACCTCCGGCTTATTTGCCAGATCCGGCCTCATTTCGACCTATAAACCAAAATTTGCTACGCAGTGCTAAAAGAGTTTTCATATAAAAATGGTAAATAATAAATATCTTGTAATATGCACACTTTAAAAATTAAAAGACGATGAAAAAATGAAATACTAGTTCAAAGAAAATAATAAAAATAAACTCACGTGCAGACAGAGTAAATTTGGATTGGTTTTTTTATTAGATAGGATTTTTATTAAATCTCTTCTAAATAAAAAAAGGTTCAAAACTCAAGATAGGATGAGCGAGATAGNAAGTTAGTGTCCGAGTGGATCGAAGTCACGATAGCTCAAGTGGTAGAGCAGCGGCGTATCTAGCCGAAGGTCGTGGGTTCGAATCCCGCACGTGCCATTGACGTTTTTATCTCAACTAAAAACCTTAATTAACTATAATAAACACTAATAATAACTTGTATAAAATAAGGGTTGTAAAAACAAAGAACAAAATATGTTTGTTTAATAAAAATCCCAGAAAAGTTTAGAGTAAATTATTTGAAATTACCTCGTACAAAACAATTAAAGACGTTTCTATATATTTCAATAATAAAAAGATCATTTCTCTTTCATAAAAAATTTACCTCTTTCTTGACAGGTAGAAATTGAGAAAAATATTAAACAACTATACTCGCCATTTTCCACTTTTAAGGAGGTTATTTGAACCATTCGGATGCCGTTCAACAGCTAAAGCGAATTAGCTCAGGCATCAACTTTAGATAGGCGACAAGATAAGGTTTATTGCATTTTCTTGGGTATGGGTAAAGAAGAAGATCTATTTTCTAATATATCTAGTAGGTCGCAAATGAAACGTGAGACTTCAACCACCAGTGACCCTGGAAGAAGCATATATAAACATTTAATAAAACCGTACATAAGTTACGACACTTTCCATATTTAAGGAACATGGTGTTTTTATATAAAATTTGTTCATGATAATGAAAACATGAATTTTTAAAATAATTTGTCTTTCTGTATAGTTGCGAGATGGAACTGAATTTTGTACTTATCGATCGTTTTGTTCTTCCATCTTCAGTGTTGGTCTATGAGACTTCTGTGGACTCAAGTATCTCTCAAGACGTTATAAAAAGACTTGAAAAACCATTACAGGATAGTCAGTTTGATGATAACTGTACCAAATGAGAGGAAACTATTCTTCCTAAATATGTTATAGGCATTCTATAATTTCCTTGTAATCAAAGTTAAATTTTAAAAAATATGGCTACTACAGTTAGAGGCTTTCTGCAGTTGAGAAAATTAATTATGGAAAATTTGAAAATAATTAATTTATAATTACAAATTTAATAATAAATCAGGTTTTATTATTAAATATAGTATATGTACGTAAATAATATAACTTTTTTAAATTGAGTTTACTTTAATAGGAAACGGTTAATACAAATCCGCAGAAAATTCGATGCTTTAAAAATAAATGAATAGAATTGTTTTCCACTAAGGAAAAATGACCAATTACGATTGAAATCCCTACAACAAATCCCTCCTAGTAAGAAAGCTTTACGTACAAATACAGGAAATACATAGGGGAAAGGCCGTCTAAGCTCGGCGAAGCTTTTAAGTCCCATGAAACATGAGCGAGGACTAAACCGTCAGTCCAAATTTTCTCAGTGAGCAATCCTTGAATATTCGTTTGTTTTTATTCTTTATCTCACTCTGTCTTCTTTCATGCAGGAAACTTTACAAATTGAAACAGATCTATCGATTAACCGTCGAATTGAATATTTTTTACCTGCGTCTTTGCCACTTGAGGCGTCGTGAAGTTGACGTTGCAACGGTACGTGTAATTGTTGTAGCACGCTGCGTAGGCAATGGCATGGGCGATGACGGTCTGGTCCATAGTGCCCGAGAAAAGAGCGGTGTCAAGCGGACCCTGTGCCATAACTGGCACATCCTCTCCGCCGTGTGTAGCCCATTGACGTGGCACTGCAGAGCTATGCACTGAATTCTTCTCAGCACCTGATAAAAAAAAACCAAAAAAACCAGTTAATTATTAAAAAACACAACATCTCAAGTATTTCCTTTCAAAAATGTTTTATTTACAGCATATAAATTTTTAGTGCATAATTTTTTAATATAAATATATATACAATGAGTGGCATTTGTCTCCAGCCGAGGTGAGTCAACATTTTTTATTTTTATTTATCTATTATTTTATTATTCTTGATAGTATGTATGTGGCGTAGCCATTATAGGTAAGCAATTATTTTTTGTTACAGGTTTGATTTAAGAATGTAAGCTTCTCTACAATACCTGATTAAACTGACCCAACTTATTTTTCTTGATGTGAACGTCGAACCTTCAGTATTCAAGTGCCAGATTTGGAAAACAATTTAGTGACCTTTTTGTTATTCTTAGGATACACTAGACCCAGAATAATGTATTCTCTCTCACTCACTCACTCTCTCTCTCTCTCTCTCTCTCTCTCTCTCTCTCTCTCTCTCTCTCTCACGGTTACTGGGAGAACTTCCAGTCCTAGCCATATTTTCCTCAATTCCCATACTTTTGGACAGGTCGCAATAAAATCTTATAGATTTTCTTCATGGTTTAAATGGCACATATTAAATTCAGTTTCAGAAATTTTAAAGGTGTAGTATTAAATTTTATATCATTATCTTAAATTTTTATTCTTAGACTTAAGTTACCCAATCACTCACATGATGTTCAATGACTACAATCAAACCGTACAATTTAAATTGGGCGATCGTCACTTTTCTAAAAAAACATTGATTAAGTTTATCGTTATACCATGAACTTATGGCTATTATAATTTCCATAAAAAACTTCATAAGATTTTCTACCTCGTTTAACTATATATTATTTAAACTGGTCACATCACAAGAGGTATGGACATACATTTTGATACCATTCCACTTCCTGTTTCATGGCTTTTAGCCCTACTATTTTAGCGAATCTTAAGTACTCCATTTTTGTCCTTTTACTAAATAGTTGTAGTGTATGTATAGTTTGGAAAAAAAATTGCTAATGTTCAGTGTACAGGAAAGAAGACAATGACTGGACTGGGAGTCTGAATGATTATTTAATAAAAAATCTAAGTATCAACTCTGATAATAAAATAGAGAAGAACAAATAATTTAGACTGTAAAAATTAGCAATTGTACAAATTCAATGATATTAAGCTGAAATTGCAATGCTATCATGAACTATCCAATTGGTTATTAAGCGTTTAAAAGATGTAAATGCTAAGGACAAATGTATCAGCGAGAACCGAATATTTTTTAAATAATGTTAAAGAATGAAAACTAACTTTCATGGTAGGATTAAAGGAAAAAACATATTAACAACATTAACATATTATTTCCAGATGAGATAGTTTGGGGATAATGAAGATAATGAAAATAGGCAACTCACAGAAAAATTTTGCTTAAAAGACGAAAAATGAACTTACTCGAAAACTTGGGAATTTAAAACAACACCATTGAAAAATGGCAAAAAGGAGGGAAAATTCAAAAGGTGGGGTTGAGATGAGAAGTTGGCGTCCGAGTGGATCGAAATCACGATAACTCAAGTGGTAGAGCAGCGGCGTATTTAGCCGAAGGTCGTGGGTTCGAATCCCGCTCGTACCATTGACTTTTTTATCACAACTAAAAAAACCTTAATTAATTGTAATATATTAATTGGTAAAGTGGACTACGAGATTAGTGAACCATTGAAAGCATTAACCACTTCAAAGAAAAAGAACCAACCAACATAATGACCGGGCCAGTACAATACAAAAAAAATAAATAATAAAAAACCCGATTACTTTCTCAGTCACGGCTAGTATATATATATATATATACAGCAGAAATGACCGACATGTTCACGTTGAAAGAACTAGAAAATATATATGAACTAAAGATGTGATCTCTACTGATTTTCTCAGCACGATCTCGCATCACAACATGAGCCGCTGCGACCAGACATGACCAAGATACGCCGGTCAGTCTAGTGGATGCTAAAAATGTAAAACCTATGTTTTGTAAAATAGCAACCCGCTTGACTGAAATGACGAAAAACTAAGGAATATTAGGAAAACAGTTAAACGATGGCCCGTGCAGAAAATCAGAAAGAAAGATAAAACGTTCTTAACAAGACTGAGAATAGGCCACACTCGTCACACGCATGGCCATCTGCTAGGCGACGGTCGACAGAGATATTGTGCAAAGTGTGATGAGCCACTGACAGTGCGTCACGTACTCGTGCAAACGTTTGAATTATTAAAGATTAAGGTGTTGTCTAGCTGCTGATGAAAAGAAAATTTTAATTAATAGCAGTGACTACCAGCCGAGTTTATTTCAATATACGCGAGTAGTAAAAGTATATGATTTACTGCCACCTGCCTCATTGCATATGATCATATCATAATGAATGTATGTATTAGCGAGATTGTTGAACGAATGAGAACAGGCCGGTCGACAGTTTATTCAAGTATGTTTACGGCCTGTGATTACCCCGGAGGCCCTATTCACCTTTTAATTGTATATAGCATATCAGGGCTGCAGATGATTGAGTTTATTAGGTTGATTGATGATTGATGCAAATAGACTTTAAATAGGTGTATTGGTGTGAATGTAAGCAGGCTGTTAGACGGAATATTAAATACTTCGACGTCCTACTGTCTAGGCCTTGTTTTTGGCATGAATATGAAGAGTGGTCATCGGCGGAATATTAAGTATCTCGGTGGTACCTTACCAATTTTGAACTGTATTGTAGTAATGTAACTGTAGTAATTTATGTGCGAGGACGTTCTTAGCACTTATTATTAGCATGAAGAATAGCACAAAGAATAGTAAGGGCTTAAAAATGCAGGAAAAAACCACCACACCACAAATCTTATAAAACGAGACTTGACATCACAGACAAATTTCTCATAGACCATTAGTCAATTATCAATTGTACTGTTTTGGTTTTTAGACAGACCATCACAGGGAGCATAAGCAGACCCGGATGATGAGTAACGACCAAATTGCAAGTTCAACTTCCCTCAGATCAAACAGAGAAATCTCACAAAATAAAATACGTAGAAAAAAAATTACTATTTCTCAGGAGAGAATTAATTTTTTAAAGTCGCAATAAATGTAAGTTTAATCGCAAGGGTTTTATAATACACGAAATTTGAAATTGGTCTTGATGATATATAATAACATAAGAATGAATATATTGAACAATTCAGAATAAATAAGTCGATATATGAAAAGATTTATGGATGACAGTTACGCAAGAGTGCCATCATTGGGCCTCTACGTGGAAAATGCCATGTAAAATGGTTTAGAGATGTGTCGGTCGTATCGAGGCTATTTGTTTCAACAAGCCCTTTACATCAACGGCAATATCTTTTTATTGCACCACCATGTACAAGGCGGTCGCCTTTGTGGCCGAACAGGGAAAAAATTGTCCTGCAATAATCTTAGGGGACAATTCCACGTTTTGGTTATCAGAAATACCGGGAAACCGCATTGGCAAGCCCCCCTAATCCGGCCAACTCCGTAAAAGGGATAAACCGGGCCCCTTAACCCCTGTAATTTATTCTTCTGTAGCCCCTCAGAGCCTTTTCTCCGGGATTTTAAGGCTTAATTATGAAAGCCGCGGGGCGGTGTCGGTCTTCAAATTAATTGCATGTAAATGACAATTTTGCTTTCAATTAAATTAATGGTCTGTGTGAAGTTTATAACGGAACGTCTTCCTAACTGTAACAACCAAATGGTACAATACAAATCCGCAGGATTTTCTAGATTATCCATTTGTTCAACTCGAATTCAAATTAGGGCATCTGTTTTCCACAAGTTTTCCTACTGCAAACTGTACAGTGCCAATTATTTTATGAATAAAATTCTTTGATAAATCGTATTCAAGGAAATCAATCAAATCTTTCAAAACATCTTAATTTTTGGCTTTGAACTTTTGGTTTTTAACAATCTAACTTGATTCCATATATGGTTTCGTTTCACGATAAGTTCATGAATAAGTTAATCCAGTTCAAAGAAGAACTACGTAATGTATAAAAAACATGAAAAGTAATATTCATTTTTGTATTTTCTTTCAGACCAATCGTTAATAAATTTTGTACAAATATTTTATCACTGAACACGTTGAAATGAATAGATTCTAATTTTGTTTGTAAATATTTGTTTTGACTTTTTAAAATAATAGGAAATGCTGGAAAAAGACCCCCTTTCCATCTTATGGCTGTCTCATACATAAGTCACAAAAAGAGAATCGAATTTACACGTCACAAAGATATTTTATTGCTTTATTGTTATCGACTCTTGGCACAACCTTTTTTATTCACGACTATCCGTGAAATACATTATTGCTGCTAGTTGTTATGGGGCGTGATACATGTTTTGAACAAATAGCTTATGAGAGAGAGATTGTGTTCATATGTTTCGATCATACAGGGCATATTTATACTGGTTTATTTTGAAAAATAAAATGTTACATTATACATTTGAATAATAATAATGATAATATTTGTAGTAACGAGATACACCATCTTTAATATCATTTAATAGTATATTTGTCATTTTATTTATTTAAAATATTTTTACATGTTGATAAATTTTTAGGGTGTAACAATTGTTATTTGATCTAAATCTAAATAAGCATATTAATAATCATTTAATAAAACTTCCCCAAATTAGTCCTTGTATGAACAAAAGACGGCGCTAAGTGCCAACACTCCGTGAAGACCGGGAAGTGGTGCCGGTTTAGTATACCTTATAGCGCCGTACATCCTACCCCTTGCCCTAGTTTGAAGAATAAAAAACTATTGTGAAACTTTTACAATTTATTTCCCGATTATTTTCCAAATAAACATCCGAGTTTTTTAAAGGATCGTAACTAAGTAAAGAGAATTTACAAGAACAACTACAATTTCTCATAAAATGAATAAAGGAATATCAGTAGCTATCATAATGTCGTTAATAGATATTTTTTAAGAGTCAATTAACAGGCGTTTTTCTTTGAGCTTTATATGCTATAATAATCATCAAAGCTGTTCGAAACTGCTAGTGTGGGAAATATTACCGTGCTTTATTTTCTTACAAAAGAAACCATGGTTTCGGGAAGGAAGGAGAGACAAATACTTTTTCTCTTCAATAGCGCGCCTTAAGACTGGCCATGATATATGTGGAGCATATGTATGCAAAATCACGTCCAAAGTGTGATGTTGAGGAGAGTCTTGAGCACTTATTTCTCGAATGTGTTGTGTATGACGACCAAAGACAGAGTTTCTGAAAATTATAAACCAATAATCATCAAGAGGCTATTTAATTTTATTCGCTGCTGCTCGAAAATAATAGAGATGTCGTCTGGATGCATAAAGTGGTGCAAAAGCTAGAGGTGCTAGGATAATTTTGTATTCTGTTATAAAGTAAATTTTAATGATATTTATTTATCTATTTATTTATATAAATATTCATTTATCTATTTATTTATTCATTTATATAAATATTTATTCATATTTCCCAAATCGCAATATTTATTTGTAAAGTATTTAATTTATGGAATTCGGATTGTTATTTACATGAATATTTAGATGTGCAAGTTGTTTATATACATCTACTTAGCCCTAGTATCTAATGTTTAGTAAGTGATAAATTCTTGTGCCCATGCAATTGGCAGAGTATCTAGGATTCGGCAAAAAAAAAAACCTTGAAAAAACTTTTTTTTTTATTCACGAATTTCCGTGAAATATGTTATTGCAGCTAGTTGGTATGGTGCGTGATACGTGTTTTGAATAAATAAATAGCTTACTGATTTATCTTTGAAAAATAAAATGTTGCATTTTACAATTGAATAATAACAATAGTAGTAGTAACGTGAAACACCATCTTTAGTATTGACGAGAAAATATCTCATTTTAGTTATTTCAAATATTTTTACATCTTCATAAATGTTTAGCATTGAACAATAGTTATTTGGTCTCTTGCTTTTAAATAAGGAAACTAATTATCATTTAATAAAACTTCACCGAACGAGTGCTTGTATGAACAAAAGACGGCGCTGCGAGCCAACACTCCGTGAAGACCGAGAAGTGGTGCCGGTTTAGTCTTCCTAAGAGCGCCGTACTTCCTACCCCTTGACAACGGGTTGAAGAATAAAAGAATTATTGGGAAACTTTTAAAATTTATTTCCAGATTATTTTCTAAATAAACAACCAAGTATTATTTTAATGGATCGTAACTAAGTGAAGAGAATTTAAAAGATCAGCATAATTTCTTTACTTCTCATAAAATGAATAAAGAAATATCAATTTGTAGCTATCATAATGTCGTTACAAGATAATTGTTTTTGTTTAATTAAAGGAGTGTTTGTGTAAAGAATACAAGGTGTTTAAATAAAAGGAGTTTTTATTTGAGCTTTATATGTTCTAATAATCATAACAAGAAAATTATTTGTTCAATAATTTTTTAATATAAATAATTTTTTAGATAAAGGAGAAGCAACAGATATTTTATATAAAAGAACCCGAAAGAACTTGTTCACCACCTCGCCAAAGGTAGGCTGTAACATGAAAAATGTATTGAAAAAAGTTAAAAAGGCAATTGCTGCTGCGTTGTAGAATGTGAAAACGTTCTAAAGAAGAGAGAGTGAGAAAAATATTTCCGTGGCTGAAATGGTCTCGTATATGGAAGAAAGATGGGGTTGAGTTTTGAGACAATGGTTAAATGCCAAGTTGCTCGGCTCGTTGTAGGTGATACTTGTGATGAGCTCTCAATAGGTCTTTAAAGCGTAAACTACTTTCTAAAACATTTTTTAGTTAAAAAAATATTTACTATAAAAAACTTTGAATTGTTATATTTTGGTACTGTCAAATGCGTTTCTTCGGATTTTAAACAAGTGAAGGTAACTTGTTTTTGATGGAACCTTTTTATTTCTGTAGGAACTCTTTTGTTCTACAAGGTAGAAACTAGTTTACATGAATCTATTGACATGCCAATCAAGTATTGGAAAGGCTGTACACAACCGTTCAGACGTCCTAAAAACAAAATAATCAACGTGGACGAATCGCTGCTCTTGTGTAATCAAGTGAATCGATAATTTCCCAGGGAAATTCTACAATTAACAACCCTGACTGAGTCAATTACGGCCGCGGCCAATAAAAATACTAACTTAATTACACGACCTAATGAAAATGTTAGACGGCTTGAAAAATACACCGAGGTGTGTTAATTAACGAGGGGCTGGTTTTTTCCTGTTTGAAGATTGAAGAAGAAGGAAAAAGAACCAAATTTTATAGTTTATACATCAAGTATGACGCCATTTTTTAATTAAGTACTTCATTAAATCAGACTTAACGAAGAATTATTACGTTATAAAATTCTTCCGACAGCTTTGATGTATTATGTTAAAAACATTCCGCCGGAAAGGTCAACAGGGCAATTAATAACTGTCGATTACACTGCGTGGGTGTTGTATGACAGTGGGATTGATAAAAAATATACCTGTCAAGTTGGCGGGGACAGCCCTCGGTGAAGTGTAGCCGGGGCCGTTTCCATAAAGCAATGTCCAGTAAGGCAGCCCGTCAACGTCCGAAACCTTGGTATCCGTTCCTAAACAAAAAACAAACATTTAATTTTATAAGTTTTATTGCATTTTAAGAATAATATATATTCCAATTGAAATCCTGTTTCACATAGTAAACAGATTACATGGTTATTATTTCTTGTTTAGTTATTAAAAAATGTAAAATATTTTGTTTTTAAATCTAGACTTAGATGTGAAAATATTGAACGTATAAAATTGGAAAATCACCACGATTAGCATTGAGATTTGTTTTTAATTTATTTTCTATGGACTGTCATTTTTCCTCCTAACTCTTCTAAAGATGTTGTGTCACTGATCGTAGTAGTAATTTTGGGCATGTGAGGTCAACATTTTTACACCCAACCATTCCTGATTGTGACAATAAAAAGTTGAACATAAGCAAACAAAATGTAACCTGTGAATAATACAAAACTCTATTTATTCACAAGAATCCGTCATATCTGTATAAACACAAATTTTTCAAAGTTCACGCTTATCACTAGCACATGTACGACTGCGTGTCCTAGCTTAGGTTCAACAAACAACTGATCTAAACCTTAATATTTTCACTTTAAACAGTATTATGCAAATACATCAAAAATCAATACAATTTCTTTGCGTGAACCCGTCGATGTTGAACAAAAGATGACTATTCCAGCCGCATAGTTAATTAGGAAACATGTTTATTCAATTTTGTTTTCACTATACCTGTATATATTAATTTTTGCTAATATCAGTTTTACCAAGCAAACATACACGATTTAATCATTCGTATTTTCCAACTAGCTTTCATTTTCACTAATTCTCTTCCTCCCTCATTCTCTCTCTCTTTCTCTCTTTTTCTCTCTCTCACGTTTTATTTTTCTACTTATATATCTATCTATATCTATATCATACATCTGTCAATCAATTTATATTTTACTTCTCCTTACTATTCTCACCCTCCTTTTTTTCTGACTCTCACCCCTAGGAATCTTACTCTTTCTCTCTCTCGCTCTCTCCTTCTCTTTTTCTCTCTCATTCTCCTAACTCGTACTCTTTAACTCTCTCTCTTCTGGCTAACTAAATATTTAGTATTATTCAGAAATCGTGAGGTGCGGTCTAGTGTGATGTAAGTTTTACAAATACATTTTCTTTATCGTGCCAACGTTCCGATCTTTACAATTAATTAAGGTTTTTTAGATGAGATAAAAAGTCAATTCGAACCCACGATCTTCGGCTAGATACGCTGCTGCTCTACCAATTGGGCTATCGTGGCCTCGATCCACTCGGACACCAAATTCCCATCTCAACCACACCTTTTGAGTTTTCATTTTTCAGTTTCGATCTTTATTGAGATCATCTTCAGGGCCTGGGATTTACAAACATTTTATTTATTTATTTTTATCTCACTGTAAACTATTCTATTCTTTCTCTTTATATTTCTTTCTCTCTCTCTCTCTCTCTCTCTCTCTCTCTCTCTCTCTCTCTCTCTCTATCTATCTATCTATCTATCTCTATCTCAAGCTCTCTCCCTCCTTTTATTATTTCTCTCTGCTCTCTTTTCGTATCACATGCACACCATTTACAAAAAACTACGAACACCCTCACACACACACACACACACCCTCACACTTTTAACTTATTCTTACAACTATATTTATTAATATTTATAAAGATGGCGTCGGTGGCCGCAACGGTTTGGGGGTTCACACGTCGCTCATCACTATAAGGTAAAGGTCGTCGGACGTTCCAGCGGCAAAAGGATAAGGATGAGCCTCATTCTGAGACTGTTGCTAGTCTGTCTCCATTATTATAAGCCTATAGGAAATGTTGAAATTATGGAAGAAAAATTAAAAATTCTAATTTAAAAAAAAAACAGAAATAAATTTGATATGTAATTTAAAATGGGATGTTTGCATACATTTGGCCTTTCAAATTAAGAATTTTAAAAGGATAAATTAAAGCTTTGGATGGCAATAGGATAAATTAGTTTAATAGTGAATGTTTGGGGTCAGAGCTTTATAGCACTCAGAAGGGATATAGCTAAACTAAGATAGAATGTTTGGATGTTAGGGCGTTATACTATAAAAAAAATTTTTTAAAAAAACCGGCACTCGAATAGTTGATGACTTGCTGTGGCGAATCCTCGTAAATACACAATTCTTACAATAAATCTTTGTTTATTGAAAGTGTGTACCACGTTGTTTTATAAGAGTGCAAACAGATAATATTGAAATATTTATACTCCTTGTTTAGAAACACTTGGAATTTAATTACATTCTCATCAATAAATATTTGGGCGATGGTATGAAGTGTTTCCATAGATGAAAATCAACACCAATTACGCAACGGTTGTTTTTCACGTGACTCACTTTTCGATACTGTGCAATGAAAGTAATTTACAAGTGGTAAAATATGACTCCCCTTTCAAAACCGCACCAACGACTAGAAGAACGTCTTCCTTCTTTCGCTACATTCCGGATTTAAGGGGCTCGTAAAAAAGTAAACACAATAAAATAAAAGTAAAATGATTGCATCAATATTTTTATTTCTTTATAGCAATTATAAGTTCGAATAATTCCAACCCTAATCGTAAAATGAATTTTCTTCCTAATACGGGAAGCTCAAATCCATCCCTGGAATTCAAAGCGGAATAAGAAGTAAACTATATACCTAAAATGAAAAGTACGATAGAGAATAACTAAAGGTATTTAGTATATGAAGGAAATCATCTTAAATTGTTCCATACCCAACATCGAATAATTAAAATAACCATCGATAAAAATAATAATATAATATAACATTAAGAAACTATTTCATTAATCATATGACGATAGTAAAATTACGTAAGATCTATGGCTGTTTCTAATTCCGTTCACCGCTATAAAAGCTGATCACACCTGGCTGAGGACGGCTCTCCTACCGTGAAACGCAAAACATAACAACTTATGAATTAAAAATTTTAAATCTTACTGTAGGGAACAAAAACCCTAATTATATTTCGTTGTAGGTTCCTGCGTGCAAATTACAACAGATAACTTATTTATTTAATTGTTTATAATAAACAAACATCATGAAATTGTCAAGTTTGGGCAAAAAGGTTTAAGCTTTTTTACCTTTTGCAATAGTAATTTACAAGTACTACGAACTGTTTATTTTTTGACAAATAATAAATTATAATATACAGGGTGTCCCAGTTCCTTCTGACGAAACTCAGAAAATCGATTCTACTCTTCGTTTGGAGCAAAAAATGCTCAGGAGAAAATTTTCAGAAAGTTCTCTATTTTGAAAATATTCGTCAATTTAGGTTTTTTCAACTTTTCACTACCTTACCACATAAAAACGCTTATAACTTTCAAAATGTTGAGATTACAATAAATCCAATTACACCATTTGAACGAATGCTAAATTTGCTGTAAAAAGTTCTTCATCTAATATGCGTTACGTTGATTTTTCAACTCTACTATAACGTTATTTAAAAACCTGGATATATCAACGTAAAGCATATTACATGAAGAAGTTCTTGTGAAATTTGACAAGTTTTAGGTATTTTTTTGTAACCTCAATAGAACGTGCAATCATGACCAAAATTTTAAATTTTGTAATTTTGACATGTTCCAACTTATATTGGCCAACATTTTATGTCATTCAGATTATTGCAAAGAAGTATCTTACAGAAAATTTAGCGTTCTTTCAAATGGTGTAATTGGATTTGTCTCAACATTTTGGAAGTTGTAAGCGTTTTTATGTGGTAAGGTAGTGAAAAGTAGAAAAAACCTAAATTGCCGAATATCTTCAAAATAGAAAACTTTCCGGAAATTTTCTCCTGAGCATTTTTTGCTCCAAACGAAGAGTAGAATCGATTACCTGAGTTTCGTCAGAAGGAACTGGGACACCCTGAAGAGCATTTCAGTTCTAACTTTTATATATTCCGATTTTTGTTTATCCTCGAGAGATTTTATAGAAATAATTTGTTATCAGAAGTTAGAAACGAAATTTTCATAAACGTAATCAAAAACTCGTAGCTTGTTAACTGCCACAACTTTAAAGGTATTTAAAGATGTCGATTCAAACATTGTCTGACGTATTACCATAGTTGAAATCCCAGAAAATATAGAGAAACAAAGTGGCAGAAACATTCAAATTTTTAAACGTATTTTTCGTAAACCACCAGAGGAAAAATGACAATATAAAATTTTAAGGAAAAAAACACGGAACCCGATGAATAATACGATGAAGGTTTAATCTTACAGACATGTACCCCTCTAACAATCCGTGTAATCCGGCACTCTGTTATTACATTCCTGGATTACGTTGTTCCCTTGTACAACCAACTCCTAACTAACAAACCCCCACGTTTAAATTTGAAACCACCACTTTTAAATGCCTTAAAAATTATTAATTAATTAAAGGATCGATTGCTGTGAAAAACTAATCCAAAAAAAGTATTTACCGCTGATTTTACTTGCGTTTCTTTACACATTTTTTTAAATTTCAACTAGTGGTAAATCAAACAAATTTAACCTGTTTCAAAGATCTTTTGTTTACGTGAAATTTGCGTTTTCGATACAATGTAATAACAACTATAATCCTTTTTCTGTCTGTCTCTCTTCTCTCTTTCTCTCTCACTCTCTCTTTCTCTTGTTCTTTATCTACCTATCTCTTTATCAACATATCGACCTAGTGATTTATTCATCTATTTCCTTTCCCTTAAATCCCTGAATATTCTTCACTCTGGCTGTGTGTCCGTCTGGTTGTCTGTCTGTCAGTCTGTCTCTCTCTCTCTTTCTCTGTCTATCTCTATCTATCTATCTATCTATAGATCTATCTTTCTTTTTCTCTCTGTCGACCTATCTCTTTATCTATATTTCTATCTAATTATTTAGCAATCTCTTTCCTTTCGAATTTGTAAATTTGTTACTGCATCTTCATTTTGTTTGTCACCTCTTCTAATTATCTCTCTCTCTTTCTTTTTCTCTCTCTCTTTTTTCTCTCACTCCCTCCCTCTTTCCCTCTCTCACTATGTTTCTCCATCTCTATTCGT